GTCTTTTAATCAAAGCTGCAATAAATTTACCCTGAAATACAATCAGACTGACAGTAGCGGCAACTGGAATAATTTCTACCACCTGGTCCAACTTCTTGATATTATAGTAAACAAGCACACAAAAATGAACATTCGCTTGGCTGCTACTTCAACCCTGAACTTGGGTTGGGATAGTAAATAAACAATAAGACAAAGCATCAACCTTATACCAGGTTAAAATGGATACCACGGAGGAAGACATTAAGGAGAGGTTATAATCTTTGCCACTTTGGGTTTTGAGGTCCCTAAAGTAAAACATGGGAGTAGACTGCTCGAACATTTATCGGCACCAAAACCCTTAAAATATGTTTTCATTGTAGTGAACAGATTAAAAGAGCATTGCTGGTGTGTGACAACAAAGAAGTACACAACAAAACTGTTGGATTTAGGCACTACTATCTATTTCTAAATGAGGGAAAAGGGGCATGTTAATCAATTTAATGTTAGTTTCTAGTATATTTTAAGGCTGTGTTTTTTGCAGGCAAGGCACAGCTCACATACTGAGCCCTATAAAAAGATGCACGTAGAAATATGCAAAACAGATAGAGCAAAGTATCAAACGTTTGTGGAAATCATGATCTTTTAATCTCTGCTTTAAAGAAGGTCTTGGTAGTTTTGTGCAACATTAAAGGGCCAGAGCAAGAAAGAGACATGGAGGTGATGAAAGTGGAGTCTGGGTTTTTCCATAGCGAGGTGGATCATGGAGCTGTTTTCCTCACCTTCTTTCATTTCATGCTGAGCTTTCAGATCATAATGACCACAACGTTAAACAAGTTAAAATGGACACTATACATATGTTTTATCCTTGAAATATAAAAGGTGATTAATAGAGACAATGTGGAAGTTGAGCTTGTTTTAATTTCTCCTTAAATAGTCAGATGCTAAGTTGATGATGAGGATAACAGTGACATAAAGGATGTTGAAGTAAAGACCAGTTTTTACATCTACATAATATCAAAATTCAACAGAATGAGATTTTTGTCAAATGTTACAACTTAAGTGGGTAAAAGACAAGATAAGCAAAGATTTCTTTGTCCACAGGGGGTGCAAAATTGACACAAACCAAAAGTTTCTCACATCCCCTTTAATATTCAAAAAGGGGAGAAAAAACACAAACTACAGAACTAAACCCATCGACTTTATTGATCTCTAACCAATACCCACTAGTAATCCCAACGCACAACTTACGAGCAGAGTAACAGTACTAAATGTCAAGTCCTATCATCATGCACATAAACCTTTATGTGGTAAAATGTAGCATCTGTAAAGTAAGTGTCTCAATACAATCAAAGCAGTAACTGTATTTATTATAATTCTGAATGGCAACCCCTGTAGGAAACAGGATTATGATGAGCAGATTTGTGAAAAGGGAGGAAGAAGAGCCTCTCTGTTCATTAACTTTGAGGTCAGGTTCACGTGCCAACAGCTAATATTTTCCCTCTCTGAGCCCTTTGTCCTCTTGTCTCTGTGGAAAAGTGAGACTGAGCTTGTGTTGGGTTGTACTGATATTGTTATAAATATATTGAATATACCCGTAAGTGTTGTTTAAACTGTTGAAATTGTAATGAATACAGTGCTTTTGTAACTGAATATCAGTTGAATGTTAAGGGTTAAATGCCAACTTAAGATTTAAGTCGCTTTCATACATTTAAGTAGCTGACACCCGTCAACCAACATGATCTACACACACATGCATATATATATATATATAAAGAGGGGAAACACACACACACACACGTATTCCCGAGGGAAGACTTTCCCTCACCTCCCATTTCTCACCTATTCCTTCTTTCTGTCATGTGTGTCTCATTTGTCACAAACATTCACATGTTATACTTTGCTTCAATTTGATGTGTGAGATGCAGTCAAACCCCGAACATCCAACCAACCCCCCATACCTAAAAAAAGCCAAAAACGTTGTAAACATCGCCCTCCTCACTTTACGCTGCACCTTCTCCTCAGTCTGGTGGCCATTCTGTGCCGAACACACACACACAATCAAGAGGGTACTTTGTGTTGTTCTTTCTCTTTGTGTTGTGCTCTCGTCCCACAAGTTTCCCCACTGGCAGCATAATGATCCCCTTTATGAAAATGGCAGGTTAATCTAAACCCCAGTTTAATTTCCCCTCCTCTTCTTTTCTCCTCAATAACACCAGGTGAGCTGTGCCTTTTGCCTCCATCTCCTCATTGATAGCATCCCTCCTTTTGTAAACTCTGTTCATCTCACAGGACCGTTTCCTGTAGGTTTGCAAAAGCAGATAGTTGAGCATGTAGAGAGGAACAATACATCCTCCTCCATGACCTGCTGTATCCCCTTAAGGAGCCTTATCTGTGGGATTGTAATGTAATGAGTGGCCCCTTTGAAACAAAAGGCCTGACAGCTCTCGCTGCTCTGTGACTCCCCGGGACTGCAGCATTGTTATTGGAATCCCCAGGAGAGTGTGCGCACAGGCACACTCTGCCTTCTCACATCTGTACGTCAACATAATCCACTTAATAAACAATGTATCATGAAAAAATTCTAATCACTCTTTCTAACGCTCTTAAACAAACCAGGAAATGTTACACAAAAGACATAAAAATTAAATTCCATCTCTGACAATTCATAAAGAAAATATCTCATGTGTTTTACAGCCTCAATAGAAAATGTCTTGTGGGAAGTGAAGTCCAAACAAAAAGTTTAACATGTTGAAATGAGTAAGTTTATCCTAGCCTGGGGAGCTGTTGCCCTATTTTAATGTGTCTGCTTTGACGAATGACTCTTGTCAGCTCTGGTTAAACTTTGTCAGCAGACATCCCAGCATTGACCTCTCCATCTCCACTTTGTATTGTCCTTGTCCCCTGTGACAATAGGCCTCCAGCAGCTCTGACATTCATCACCTGTTAGCAACATTCATCCATATGAATATGCCTCTCGGTCCTGTTCTCCGGCCTGCAGGATCATTCCAGGGCATGGGGGTTAGGGGGATGGGGGTGGATTAAAACAAAGGGGACAAAGTAAGAAAAACATCCTTAACACCTGGAACCAAATTTAAGAGATAACAGAATATCCACAGATCAACTTCAAGAAGGTTTAGTGAAACAAATTTATTTGAATAGATGAGGGAGTTTGTTGTCAACGAAAAGCTGTAATTTTAAATAAAAAATTGCACACAAGAGTAAACTTTAACTCGTTTAAACTTTTCAGTTTCTGTTTAAACGACTTCTGCACAACTTCAAAATAAGTGAGATCGTGACGTATACCTTTTGTTACGAGGAAAATGAAATGAAAAAAGAAGTTGAGTTTAAAAGTTTTATTCCAAAAGTTATTAATTGTAAAGAACTAAAATTATGTTTCTACCAAATAATTTCCACTTGTTTGTTGACTCGACATGCTCTAGGCTCGCCCCTGAGAACCATCTGAAGGTTCAGTGTTTTGCCCCAAGAACTACTTAGTCAGTTCTGCATTTCACATCTTGACTGGAGTGTTGTGCTTCTACTCATGCCATCAGTGTACTTGTCACAGAGACATAATAAAAGAGCAGCCATTCAACGACTGAACCAGCAATAGAGGAGTTAAAGAAGGAAAATGTAGGAACCAGCTTCTACAATGCCATAATACAATTTCAAATAACTCACTGGGGCACCAATAGCATGCTGTTTAGTGCATAATAACACAGGTGGACTAAAGGCATTACCACAGAAAACCTCAAAGCAGAGCTTTTGAAACCCTTGATTTCCAACATCCAATTCTATCTTCTGAGCCATGAGAGCTCCATGACATGTTCTACACATGCTCATGTCTCAGTAGTCATTATCCAGCAATTTTGAGCACTGTTTGGCCATGTGAAGGCATGAATGTAGCAGTTAGGAGAGCGGATGATTATCCAAATTATACGAATACATATATAATCATCCAAGAATAAAACTTGTTTTTGTTGAATCAGAATGAGCCTAGATTTAGAGCTGGACCATGTTCCTTATCACGGAGGCTGACACTTTGCATCGCCATGTTTTTACTGTTGTATAAAAGTAGCACACTGAATCATTAGTGCACCAGGTGGACCACAAAGAAGAGGCAAGTGGTGTTTGTGCATGCAACAATTTTAAAGTGTTGATGTTTTTGATGGTAAAGACTTGAGAAATGGAGGATCATACTTACAAAAGCAGAAGTAATCTGGGGAGCGTTTCAATCTGAAATCTGTTTGCTAAATATTGCAAAAAAAATTCAATTACTTAATACTGAACATTGAGATATTTTTCTATTTTGTTCTCTCAGTTTAAACACATTTCTCTATCAGATACCAGACCCCCTGAAGCTGTTTGGAAAGACAACAGTGTTTTTTTTACTTGTTTTTGCCACTCCCTAAAAGCTGCACCAAAGCACTAATTCTCCTCAACATATCTTCTGTAATTTGGCAATTTCATCTTTAAACAGACGATAGTGGGTAACAAAAATTTTGTTGCTGTATGGAGACTGGTGATTCCATTTTAAATGCAACTTTCAAAAACTAGAAAAATAAGCAGCCAAAAACCTTTGACAGAAAAAGAAAATTAAAACTTTGGCTGCTGCTCAGAGATGTGGAGTAGACTGTGAAACAGCCCAAATCTCCGACATCTTAGGCAATGAGAACTGGTTTTAAATCTAATACTGACACATTTTGCTGCTGCGCCACAAGTGGCGAGTGGAATCAAAGTGGCGAAGAAAGAAATCAGTTGTAAAAAGCGAAGTGTCATGTCACCACCCCTCCAGTGTGTTGAGTAAATATTTCATATCCACAAGCTCCTACATTTTGTGAGTGACATTTTTTATGAGCTGGTGAGCCATTCACCAACACTATTGTGTGTGAACGTGTTGAGGTGTGTGTTCAAAGTGTGTGTGCCGGGGCTGCTTTGTTTTGCTAGCTGACAGCTCCCCTCCCCGTGTTGGGCCTGGCAGATGTAGAGGTGTCACCATGTTGATTAATTGTTTACGGTCACCTGTCTGCGTGGCGGCCTGTCTGCCATGTCGCCGTGTGCTGGGGGGATTTAGGGTTGTGGGGTCGGAGTGACAAAGAGAGGGAGGGGGGCTGCTGAAAAGGTGCAGAATGGAGGGGACAACAGAGGGACGGTGTGCGGGAGCTTGTGTAAATGATGCCACACTATCAACCGAGCGTCTTCAGCCGTGTCTGTCTGAACAGCAGTGTTGTCGTGTTGAACACGCATCACAGCTAGCCGGGGCCTGGCGGGGCCCAGCGCTCCAGAGCTGTTTCCTGCAGAGGAAGAGGAGCAGAGAAAAAACAGAAAAAAAAGGAAACTAGTCAAGGTTTTTGGAGGGGGTGCTTCTTTCAGATAGATGGTATTTAGCACAGCTCCTCCTGCTGGGTAAATTAAAACCCCTGATGATTACGTGTTGTTTATTCAAAAAAGAACTGAAGCCTTCAGAGGAAATGTGTAATTAAGATTTTAAAAGTCATACAACACAGTCTTTGCAGCAATCTAATAAGCTGTAGTAGTGGTACGATCACTGCAAAACATTGGTTCGTCGCTCTGTCCGTCAAAACCCCGTTCTCAACAATCCTGCCTAGCTGCTCTGATGTAAAACAACCCTGAATATTTTACATAATGTAGCAAAAGGGTTTAGTTCTTTAAATGAGATTAATTCAGCAAAGATTTGACATCTTTTTTTGATTTTTTCTCGCAGCCCCGTCTTTATTCTTTGCTTTATAGTTGGCGGATATTAGAGATGTGACATGAGGAGGCTTGACAGTGCTGTTCAGTACCACACTTTGCTGAGCCCTCATGTAGAGAGAAAGACGCACTGGACCTCTGCATCATTGAGAACACATATCCTATTCAGTTTGAATGGCTTTTGATTTAGCCCATATTATCCATTACTTACTTATTCATAGGCCACTAGGTTTTTCTTCCCTTCCATCCATTCAAATCAATATTGCAGAACCCAGTTGTGAGTGTGGGTTGGGGTTTTTCTTCAAAGTGGCAATTCTTCCAACCATCTGCGCCTCTCTCTCTCTCTCTCTCTCTCTCTCTCCCTGCAACGCTTTAAACCCGCCCTTAGTAACAAGCCACGGAGCACCAATCTGTGCCGTGATTCGGCCAAACCCTGCCTGCCGACTGGGAAGGAACATCATCAAAACTATTCTGTGTTGCCATGGAAATAGAGACCTCAATAAGTTCATCTTTTTCATGTGTGTTTTTTCGGAGGGGCTTGCTTGGCATTTGGTTGGTTGGTTGGTTTGGATGAGTGGCGAAGCTGCAAGCTGTTCCTCCTCAGTGTTTTCTCATGCAGCGTCTTGCCTTTCGTGTGTTGATTTATTTAGCCGTCAAACATGGAAAATAATACATCTCTATTCTTCATTCTTGTCTTATAGGAGCCCTGTGTGACTCTGTCAGAGTATGTGAACGTTTTTGATATTAAAATCACTCTATTGTTGTGTTGAATCTTATAGGAGCAGGTGGATTTGAGTGGTTGTAGGCGCAAGGCCTGGCGATGAGAATGAGTGTAAACGCTCGGCTGCATGAATGGGGGAAAAAAAAATGGGTCAGCAGAATACGTCTGCTGCAAACAAGTTATGTGACAAACGTTTCAGCATATATGTAATAACACTCCACTTCTCCTCTACTGTGTGTGTGTTTGACTCTGAGTGCAGCATGGCAGCAGCACTTGATGTCTTATTGTCTCAGTAAGTAGTAGTAGTTGTAGTAGTCGTAGTGGAAATGGGTTCTTTGAAGTAACTGGATCTCCCTCTTACACTCAGAGAATACCAATGTATGTTAGGCGTGTCAGTGCATACAGTACATATGCGTGTGTGTGGGGGAGAGATAGAGAGAGAGAGAGAAGGGGGGTGTGTGTTATAGGCATGTCACAGCCATGTATGATACAGCTTGATCAGATGCTTTCCTAGAAATTCTCTTTGATGTTCATATAATTCATGTGAACTCTGTGAGGTAGTGAACGCTGACTCTCAGAGGGGGAAACGTGTGAGATGTCTCAGTTATCTCTGCCGTTCACTCCCCTAATTCACAGAAGAGGGGGAGAGAGAAAAAAATCACTGCAACAACCCAATGGATCTCCCAAAAACACAGAATTTGGGGAGGAGTAGCTTGTTCAAGGCGTGCTGGAACAGCTATATCCCATGTAATTGGACAATTAGAACGGTATCTTGGCATCTCTCGCTGAGTGCTCTGAGGAAGAGGGGAAAAAAAGAGGGTTGTAATGTATTCTGACCCTTTTCTTGATAAAACTGATGGAAATAATGCAACGTAACTCTACGTGTCTGTGTGAGCTTATCTGTGTGGTAAATAGGAAGCGTGCCTGCCTCCTGGCCCCTGCATTACTCGGCAGTGTTAATGAAATTCAGTGAAAGATGAAAGACAGTGGAAAGGTCCGGTGGGTTATTTTTGCAGAAAACAGGCGAGTATGTCCAATTAGATGCTCTAAAATGGAATCAAATACAGAGTGAGTTTCCTTTTCCCCGATTCACCACTGTATGCAGAGATATTTCATTTTATCTTCTCTTTTTTCACTTTTATTGTGGAAACCAACTTCAGTTTAAAAAAACCCAGATGTATATACCTCATAATATATAATATAATCATAATTATAACATGAAAATCCAATATAGAATTAAGTTATCAGAGATTTTAGCTCAAGTTGGTCATTTTCTTTAACCTTCAATAGGGCGTCTTCACTATGACTTGAACTGCAGCACCCACTTTTTAGTGCTCCATATTTCACCAGCAATACTTCAGCAGCCTTGTTCTAAAATGTACTGGGGAAGCCACAATAATTTCCTCATGTCCCGCCTGGTTGACTTGTACTTGGGCACCCTGATTAAAGTGGTATATATGAATGTGTCCTTTTGAATTACTGTCATTATGACACCCTTCTACTTCTTTACATTTTGTTTTTCCTAAGTCCCTTTGAATAAGTTTTATTTGGGCACCTCTTAAAAAAACATCTCACTAAGGGTACGTCCATATGGCATTAATCACTTCTGGTGTAACACCCTCGGTAGCCCCCTCCTCTTTTAAAACTTTTATGTAAAAGTGAAAGTAAATCCTTTTCAACTTGTGGTGCAACTTTAAAATAAAAGCTTAACTTATCTGCTGTTTCAGTGTTAGTTTGCCCTTTTCTATTGCTTACAATGGGGTTACCCTCTTTTTTCAAAGTCTGGCACCCCAGTATCAGCTAATACAAAGTTTTTTCTTTTACTGTTTATTTTATTTAGTGGTTCGTTTTTTTGAATTAACCTAGGTTTGACATGAACTAAGGCAGCCTTTTTTAAAATCTTATTTTGGCACTCCATACTTTGACAAAAATGGCTTTTACTTTTGCAAAAAAATTCAAACTTTTTAAGGCTAGTTGGTCCTTTTGAATGACTTTTATTACGGCAATTCTATTTTGACTTGTTCTTGGGTATCCCAATATGGGTTTTACATTAGTATGCATTTTTAGAGTTTGAAGTCATACTGTCTCCCTTTAAGTTACTCTTGTTGAGGCACCCCTGTTTTAATCATTTAGGTGTGCCCTGGGTAAAAAAAAAGACTTGTTCGTGTATCTTTTTTACTGTAAAAGCCTGTTGAATACGATTTAAATGATTAAATGATATAAAAGCGTCTCAGCTCAAGCACCAAGATGAAGTTTTGATTGAGATGCAATAGATAATTATCACTATTTTCATAGAGCATTTGATTGACAGAAATCACATCCAACTTCACTTTTAATCCCCTATCCAAGGAGAGGTGAAGGCAGTCAAGTGTTTGTATATGTTCCTTCTTATCTGCTTGTAATCAGGACTCCACTTCCATTTCCAAAGCTGGCCCTAACTAGATGGGGGCAGATAAGGCGGGCCGCTGGATGCATCTGTATGCCAGGCCTATTGTACTGCAGAGGAGCAGGGATGAGAGGGGGAAGAGAGCGAGGGAGAGGATAGGCGAGAGGAGGGAGAGGGGGTGAGTTTGCTTGAATCTCTGAGGGCTGGCTAACCCCCTGCTCCTTTTCCTGAAATGGAGATGTTATTACATTAGCAGCTAAAAGGGTTTATTCACAGTTAGTGCAGTTTAGGCATGCAAATGGAGGATTTCAGTGTGCTGTGTTGCCTGGAGGTATAGGACAGAAAGCACAGGAGATTTGCAAGGATTAGTTCCACAGGTTCCTTTTATTATGGAAAGAACCCTTCCTGAATGAAAGGGGGAGGAAAAGGTGAGTGGAGGAGAAAGGGGAGAAGAGAGGCAGTAGGGGAATTTTGGAGGGATGTTTTTTCTCCTTAGCCCAGTTGTGAGCTACATGAATGATTTTTGACATCTTGACTCTCACATGTTCAGAGGTTATGCACACAGAGATGCTTTTTTTTCTGTGCCTCCGGCTGCCGTAACAGTTGGTAAACAGTGTGCAACCCCCTCGTCTCCCCTCCTTTAAGGGTGTGTGTTTCTGCACAAGTATGTGTAAGTATGTGTACTCTGATATGTCTCACTAAACCCGCTCTGAAATAAGCAACGGTTATGATGATGAGGCCTTTTGGCAAATTTTACAGTGCACACTACTCAGTGCACATGAAATGGAGGGTGGCGACCCGTTCAGATCACTCATGTTGTGGGCGCGTGTCTCAGGGACTGTGCCGCTGCAATCTGATATGCTTGAGTTGTAAAGTTAAAGCCTTCATTATCCCGGCACGAGGCATAAGGTGTCACCTTCACTGGACCTGACACATGCACGCTCCCCTAACTGTGGGAGCCCACACACACTCATTCACACACACTTGTGTACACACACAACTCAAACCATGGGAGACAAGGCTGAGAGATGAAGGCTTTGAGGAGGAGATGGACAGAAAGACTCAGAATTAATGGTTGATGGGAAAGTCAAGGTCAGTGTGGTTTGGGTTTGCTGTGGTCAAGGTGATGGGTCCCGCTGGAGGCAAAGGGACAGACGCACACAAACACATACACAGAGGGTCAGCGGCAAATGACTCAAGTCTGTTGTTCAGCAGGGAGGAGAGGGTGATGGCGAAAATGAAGGATGAGACTGATGGGACCCCGTATTTTAACCAGGCTCTATAGCTGTATTCACACACGCGCAACACTCTGGAAAATCTCATGACATTTTCAAGGTGAGCTGCATTTATGAATACTGAGGATAGAGGATTTTTTTTTTTAATTCTTGAAACAAAAATTGCATCCTCTTGAAGTTTTTAAACAAATGTATCATTTACTGTGAACATTTTATGTGTAAACTGTAGAAACATCTACTCTCTTGCACCTGGTTCAAAAATTAGAACATGAAAAAGGCAGATCTTGCTGCTGATGGTCTTGTCTGCTTTTGTATGTCAAAAAAAGACAACAGTATCAATTTCACTCATTTTCATCAAAATAAAAAAACTCATCACAAGAGCTTTAATGAAGAAAAGGTTAAAGATTATGAGTAGTAAATATATAAAAATAAAGTTAAATATTATCTAGAAAAGTCCAATTTATGAGAATATGGTGGAAATCAATGAGAATGAAGTCATGATCTAAGGTAAAAAGGTGACTGTTTTATCAAGAAGTAGTTAGAAGTGTAGACTTGCAGAGTATAGACTTATGTAGACATTACTGTGCTGCTGATCTGCTTTAGATTTGGTATTTAGTTATTTATAAAACTAATACTAGGTTGAATTTCACAGGATGCTTTGTATCCATTATTCAGATATCTGTCAATTTTTTACTTTAATCAAAATTTTAAAGGTTAATCTCAATATCTCCCTATTTTTGCTATACTGTGGTTTTATAGCCATGTCAATTGGAAGTGAATCTGCAGACATTGTGTTTGGGAAAGTCAGCACTAGTAAGTGAGCAGAGGTTCTCATTGTGCAACTGAGTGATCGTGGGCCACTGCCTTAACCCTTTTTTCACTCGCCTAAGTTTTCAACTCAGTGAATGACACTGAATTTATCCACTTGCACGTAACATTTGAAATGAAGGCAAAATATAACTCTTATCATAGCGCCAAACTCAGATGTATCCACTATCTTGTGATTATAGAAATGACACTGATTTTTGCAGCTCACATTTACATTAGGTCCTGCCCCCTGAAATCCCCCCAACACACACACACATACACACACTTACATCCGTTGTCAGGAAAAATCTCCTGCTTTTGAGGGCGTGTGTAAATAAGCAACAATGGAAAAGTTCAGGAAGATGCTGCCCTGAAAGATTTTAGAAATTTCAGAATATCATGTTTGCATCAGTGAAAGGGACTGACGGCAAAAGGTTCACAATCATTCAACCAAACTATCTGCCCTAACTTGTGTTTCTTCCACTGGTGTCGTCAGTGTCACATAATTCAGTCATTGAGGGATTTTATTTTGAAGGTCTAAACATATGCTGAACACAATTCTCAAAGGTAAATAAATAAATAAGCAAGTAAGTAAATCAATCAAATTTAATACGTGTGTATTGGTGCAGATTGTTAAATTTTTTTTTAATTATAATAAAATGTGTTTTAATCTGAAAATTAGACTCTACTTGAACATACTTACTTTTATAGCAAGGTAACTAAATCTTGCTCTAAAGATATTCTCAGGGGCAATGATACAGAAAATTCTTATAATAGGTCCATAATGTTTTTTTCTAAATGTGATCTTGTAGAACAAATTACTCAAATCATTCCTGTTGCTTCAAAACTAAAGTAAAAAACATTTAATTCATTGGATTTATTCTTAAAATAAAACAGACATTTTAAAAGCCCTTAATTTTTCAAAATGTCTTCTCATGAAACAAATTTGCTTTTTGAAAACACCAGAGTGTATTTTATTTTGAAAAGAAACACCTTGATTAAACATACTTTGAGAAATAAAAAAACATAAATATATGTAGGAAATTTTTTAAATAAAATATCTCCTGTTATTCTCCCCCTTAATGTTCCTTTTACATTGAAACACTGCATAAAACAATAAGTCCTAGTGCAATCTTTGTCACAAACTGTAATAAAAGTGTCCCAGTAGCTGATGTGTGTTTTGTGAATACGTGTATCCCCTCTTACTGAACGACAGTGCTCAGAGTAAAGTGGTCTGTTAAACCGCAGACGTTTCTAAAGAAAAGAAAAGTGTGAGCCGCTGAATAAAGGCTCTCCTCTGAACCAACAGCACTCATCCGTCTTTTCTGGCAGAACGGCTCTTTAATTGTTCGCATTTTGATGCTTTAACACTTGTGCTGTTAACAGCTATAAACCACGAGTGTCCTCATACAACTGTGAAGGAGAGACAAAAGGGACTACAGGCACACAAAACAGCTACAATAGAGGGAGAATGGGACTTTGGTGGGTGTGTACAAAGCATCAAAAAGATTATTTACAACTACAGTACAGGACATTCAAATGATAGAGAGAAATTCTCTACACATCTATCCAGCAACAAGTGTTGATATAAAAAGTTTGTCTTGAAAATAGCCTGTAGTCTCTAAGAAATACAGGATTGTCTCTGGGCAAACACTGAATAGATGAGAACAGACATAAAATGCGGGTTAAAAGCATAAGCAGCAAATAATGTAAATAAATGTGAATACATGAGGACACGTTAAATTTAGCCCACCTCTTCGACTAGGTGTGTACAAATATGGATTATGCATGTTACTGCATCAACGTGAAGGATTGTGAAATATTTTACAATAATGCAAGGCACAGTGAGCACAGATTTACCATTATCACTTACTTATTAATAAATGCTTTAATGCTACTAAACTCCGCTGTAGTCCAGAAACAATCAAACACACACACTCCACTGAGTGTAGACTCCTGCAAGACAAGGAAGCCGGAACTGAGCATGCTCAGTAACGTCCCTCTCTACAAGAATCTTCTCTCAGCAATAAGTTGTCCCTGTTAATCAGACTGAAAAGAAAAAGTATTTTCAAACTTTCCCTTTATAGCATTTCATTAATTTGTAATTTTTTATGTCTTTAGAAGAGATTAATTTCTACTCTTATTATCTTTATATGTAAGTCACCTTCTCAACTAGCTTCAGTGTGAATACAACATGCACTTTTTGCCTCCTGCAATACAAAATACCTATTTTAAGAACTATTTTTTTTTTCAGTCAGGACCTAAAATGTCTTATCTAATTTTCCAGGTGTATAAAGTGTCATTTAAGCACAGAAAATAGTAATTGCACTCTACCACTCTTCACTTCTTCTTCAGGTCAAACTTGTATGGAGACACACAGAGAGACCCCCACAATCATCAACAGTTCTGAACACCCTCTCCCCCAGTGCTGTGCCTTGGGCCTGGATCCAGCCAGAACAACAGTGGAGCTGCTCCCCCTGCTGCTATGAGAGAGAAACTGCCTCTGGGCCCGGTAACACTCCCAGAGCTCTGCATGTGTGTGTGCCTGTGCATGTAAAGAAGGGTTACTTTGGGTTCCATATGCATGTGCCAGCCGGCGTGCACAGCTCTGCATCCCATCACATCACACAGTAGGTCTGCATCCTGCCACAAATATGTACCTGACCTCACCTTCCATTCTCTCACCCCTGCTCCGGTCTGTAACAACAGCTCCAGCATCTGCAAGCGATTGTTTGTGGCTGCTGACTGTTCCTCTGCCTGCCTGCCTTTTTGTCTGCCTGTCCTGCTATAAAACTCTAATGATCCTCTGTGTCTTTTTTTGTCTTTACATAAGTGCATGTGCTCTGGGATGTTTCCCACTATCCACACGAGGGGCGGTTTGCTAAATTGGATGAGAACGAAAACAGACCAAGAAGCAAAAGCAGACATTTTCACTACATAAAACATTAACCTTTTTTTTTAACACTTAGGGCATGGAAAATCCAGCACGAAGGAGGATGTTTTCTGGTAAAAGTCATTTGGAGGAATATCTGCTTCCTTTTCTTTCCCTTTTTCTTGTTGCAGAGTTTGTAAAGCTGATTGTCATCTACATTTTTTTTCAGCCATATGGTCAGCTGTCATGTTCACATGACCAAGTGATCAAAGGCTGCTCTTTGGTTTAATTGTGCCCCACTGTTAGGCTTTAGCCAGGAAGGACTTTCCATCTCTGCTTCAGCAGGTGGCTTGTGTGTGTGAGTGTGTGTGTGTGTGTGCATACATTCTTGTTGGTGTTAACATAAAATGTGTGCAGATATTGGGACAGTGTTTTCTATCTATCCTGCAGCCAACTGGATCTAAAAATGAGACATCATTGCAAACAGCAATGACTAACATCCTTATTTTAGGCTGCCTTATGTGCACTTCAGATTAAAATCACTGCAATACACTCTTTTTTACTCACTTATTCAATCTGACTTGCTGAATCTTGAGTCAAAAAATAAATAGCCTCGCTGACCCGACAAGTTTAGGTCTTGTTGCAAGATATTACAAACCAATCAAGAGGTCTTAAAGATAACACAAACACACACATAAAATCAAACGTAAGGAAGCATTTCTTCTTCTTGAGGAAGAAAATATATTATTTAAGTCAATATGAGCCAAATTCACCTGATAACTCCAGATAACTGCACTTTAAAGACTTTAAAAAGCCTCATATCAAACATGTATTGCTTGTAATGGGTGGACATGTGCTATGATTTTTTATCAATTTTGTAGGGACATTACTCTTATTTTAAGAAATGTAGCTCAACATGCACATCTTTCTTATTTTTCTTTTACATGTCAGGCTTTCGTTTTTGTTTCTGTTTTTAATAAGATGGGATAAGATTTGTGTCTGGACTCTTCAAATAAATCTGTTTCCCCATTAACCCTCATAACATGATTGACTAGAAATAAGACAAAAACACTTCTTAGGTTTGAGTTTTTTTGCAGTGTGAAAAAAGGCTGCTGATTTGGCAGGCAACATTTTCTTAACAAGTCTCTCAAAATATCAGTCGTATCCTGTTCAAAGGAACTTATCAAGGAGGTTTTGCTTGCTGCACTGGTGGACATTTTTACTCATTACAATCTTATTTTTGGATGGTGATATTTTGAAATAAGGCTGACATCTAAACTTGTCAGGTCAGGGAGGTTGTAATAAGAGTGACATTATATCCTTTACATGTGAAAATCAGCAGCAGAGGAATATAAACATAAAAACAACAGACATTATTTTTTATAACTAGTTTTATTACCTGAAACTCACTATTGTACAAGGGTCTTTTTAAGCACTGGCTGAAGGTGAAAACTTCTTGAAACAATTGTATTATTCAGATTTATTTGCACTGGTGACACGACTGAAAATAAAGCTGAAACATATTATTTAAACTTCATTCACGATGCATTCAAGGACTGCAAAAAAGACTCTTTCTCCCTTTAGACTCTTTCTGGAGAACATCCTAACTCATCTTGACACACAAATCTTAAAATACTCAAATAAAAAAGTTTAATTTTTGTAATGGAGTGCTTTTTTTTCTTCATATTTCTAGGTTTAACCCCTCCTGTGCTGAAATTTGATTTGCTCGCTCTGCCTGGTTTGCAGCAGAGGAATAGAGGCCAGTGCCTGAAGTCAGTGCTCCATGACAGTGCAGGGTGAGTGTGGGTCACAGAGGGGGAGGGTTTTGGATGGGGGTATATGCTGTGGGTTGAGGGGTGGTGGGCATGAGGGGGGGGTTACATGCAGGCTGACTGGAAAGGGGGGCATCGAGGAGGGAGGAGGGCTGAGGGCTGAGGGAAAAGAGGGCTTTAGCTGGAAAGGGGCTTTGACCGGGGCAGAGAGAGATTCACATTGATTGGGTTTTAATTTGGTGGAGGGCCCTCTTCAACTGCTGCACCCATCCCCCCTCCGTCCATCCAAATCCCCCCCTGACTCACCCACCCACCCACCCACTGCCCCCCCTTTCTCTCTCCCCCTTCCTGTCCCGATGAGAGTGAGGAGTTGAGGAGTCGGGGTGGTCCGTGTGGCCGGTCAAAGCCAGCTGATGGGAGTAAACTAAACTCAGCAGGCCTGTTGTTTGTGTTTACTCTGTGTGTGTGTGTGTGTGTGTGTGTGTGTGTGTGTGTATATGTGTGCGTGTGCGTGTGTGTGTGTGTGAGCTGAAACAGAGTGTCCCTTATGTTGCGTCACATGTCCCAGCACCTCTAAAAGCTCTCTATAAAAACACAATCCATCAAGTTCTACTTTCACAGGTGGTCTAATCGAAATCACACCACTCTCTCTTGGCCCTTTTATTCCATTTTATCGTTATTTTTGTTATTTTAAATGATGACGTTACATCTAACTGCTCCTCTTATCTTCTTCTGATGGTGTTGGCGGCTGTGAAAACCTGGTGTTGAGAGCGCTGAACAATTTGAAGCCATTTGAAGATGTAGCCTCCCCTCCAGTGTTTACCTAAGCAATCTAATCTCAGGCCTAATCTCTGACAAGTTTTCTTTTTCTCTCCTTAATTTGCAGGCTCAAAGAGGACAGAGGTAGAGGTCTAGTCTTAATTAGGTTACTTATCTATGCGCCAAAAGGATAAAGTTCTCTCACCAGGCCTGTTTCAAATTAACCTAATTGGATTTTTAGCAGAAACTCAGCAAATAGTCAGGGTTAAGTAAAGAGTGGGACATAAAGGAGGGAGTTCACGTGAACTGTGTTGCGTGAACTGACAATAAAAGCCCTTCAGAGGGTCATGTTCAAGGTTCTCCTCTCTGCTTTCTCTCAACAAACAGCAGAGAAAATGCTGCAGGCTCGCTTCAAGGAGAGCTGGGCCACAAGGGGAACATGAAGCCTGAGTTTGAGGTCCCGGTTCAGGCTGAGCTAACAACAGTAGAGAGGAGAGAGAGAGAGAGGGAGAGATACAGAGGAGTTTAAGAGGTGAGGATGAGAAAAACACGAGAGGAGGACAGATCTTTCTGCACATTATGGACTTTGAGAAGAAGTCTAAATTTTGAGGAAAAAAAAACAATCTTTTCAAAAGTCAAAAATGCAGAATCCTTATCAGAAATACCAGTTTGGGAAAGTTGAGGTGTTGTTAATACACAAGAGTCTACAAAAATGAATGAAGGTTTAAGATTGGTGGAAAAGAAGGCTTTAATAGAAGTGCTTCTAAACTATCAATATTAGCCCATCAGCAGAGCTAGCTTCTTATGCTACTTTAAACCATTACAGTGTGGTATAACAGTTTGTGCAGATGGACAGATGACATGATGCCTTCCCGTATGCTAACTGCATGCTTTGATAATGTATGGACTCTCAATTGAAAATAAGTGACTCAACCAGCAAGTGTTTAGACTTTGTTTCTTAAGTATGTGCAGCATTACCATTCAGTAGCTGTTGACTCTACTCTTAAAGTGAAATCTTTTTTCTTAACATTTGAACTTCATTTGCCAAATTATTAGTTATTATTTATTCACCAACTTTGATTTGATAAAAATTTCTACTTTAAACAGGAAATCATTTAACAACATAATTCTTAAAACTTGGGCTTAAATCTCAACGTTGGACTTTTTCCCTAAATATTGTATTAAAAACATAATCCCATCTAAAGAAGTAAATGATACTGCCAGCAACAAGACTGTTGTCATTTTAAATGCCTGATGTTACTGTGAGGGGTGGGAACAAGAGATAGGAGGTATCACTTTGTCCACAGGGGGCGCCAAAATCAACACAACTAAAAAGTTCCTCACAGCTGCTTTAACTATAGAGGGTGAACTCCAGCCATGTGTAATATGAGAAAAGTCAGTCTGTTGAAGCACTTGATTGACTCACATCAGGATACAAGCAAAAACTGAACCATGTCTAACCTTCTCAATTTTCTCTGCGTCATTTGTAGGTTATAGGGTTGGTAGGTTTTCAATCAGATCAAGTTTGTTCTTATTCTGGTATCAAAATTGTAGTTTAATGGAATGCCCAATTTGCCCCAGAGTTCAGATGGTGTCTGGATCCAAATGTTACAAGGAGACAGAGAATTACTGTGCCTCTTGTTAAGTTTGAACCCTCCTGTCTGTCTTGCAATGTTTTGTACACAAATAAAAATGTGATATCTTCAGATTATGTGTCTGTAGAAAAGACCTCCACCTGCACCACTGTAGCTTCAGCCTGCTGAGGGAAAATAGCCCACACTGAAAGTAGAATATGAAAATTTAAAACTGGAGATCTTTAATATGCATTTTTTTTAGTATTTGAAATTAAACCAGGAAAGCCTAGTTTGGTTTAAAAACCTCTTTTACAACAGTATCATGGCCAAAACTAAGAACACATGACAATCATGACCTATGCTTGCATATCCTGGGTCACATAACAGAAAGTCACCAGTCAAAACTTCCTCAGTTTGGTGCAAATATTAAAGAGATCATCTCTTTTCCAAACCCTTAAAGAAGCACACCTTAAAACCCTTCTCTTTATTTTGAGATGCACTCTGAAAACAGAAAGCAAAACCAAGTCCCACCAATGGGTCATGTAGAGAATATAGTTGCTTTCAGCACTTTTTAAATGAATAAAATTAACATTAATAAGAAGAAAGCAAGTTAGGAACTACTATACAGAGAAGGGCATGTCTATGATTTAGTCTGTAGGTGGACAAACAGGATCCAGGGAGTTACTTTGCAGCAAAATAAAAACATGATTTAATCCTGAAATAAAATCACACCCACGACTTCCACTTCTTTGCTAGATGTTGAATATGAAGATGTACAGACAGCGCATCATGGTTAAATTTACTTATAAAACTCAACTGCTGAGGAAAATTTTAATACTTCTGTTTCTGAAAATATAAACCAGACTAGCAAGAATATTTCTAAATCTATACTCTTGTTTTGTTCTTTATCAATTTCTAGATTTGTAGATTCCGACAAAGTGACCAGAATGCAGAAGAGATGAGACATAAACCAAAACTAACACAAAACATCAGTTTCCTTCAGCTGCGGTATGTAAAACAAGTTTCCTTTTTTTTTTAAACATGTTTGCTCTGAGTTCTTAGTATTTCTTTAATTATTAAAAGGTGATAAACAAACAGAAAACTCTCTTAAGTAACGTCTCTGGGTTGTAGATTTAATTCCCATTCGTTTTCAATCCCACAGGAATTATTAATAGGCTTTATTCCCCCTCTGATATTCCAATGTTATCAAATTAGCACTTCCTAAAGAAACCTGGGCTGCATTAAGAATCCCAAGCTCCCGACCACGCTGAAGTGTGAAATTATTCCAGGGGGCAGCTTGATTGTAACCAGGGCTGGAGGATGAAACTATTCCCTTGTTCAAGTCTCTCAGGGTGAATTAATTAGAAAGACGAGCAGTGAGACATGTGCGGTTATCTTCAAACCTGGTTAACATTAATCACAGGTGAAATATAGCCGAGATCATGTTCAAAACAGCCCCCAGAAGATGGAATGATAAGAAAATGAAATTTTAATAATGCTTCTAATTATGACAGAGGCCGCTGGTGAAGATGAATATAAATGAGAAATGTATTGTAAATTAAAAATGGAAATAGCAGTAATTTTCCTGTCTGTGTCCAAAAATGAGTGTCCATTGTGTGCAGCAGTGATGTATAGATGAGTTAATCAGGCATATTGATCGCTGCAGTAGTGATGCAGAGTGTGGATTTTTAATTAGCGCATGCTTGAGTGTGTTAAAACTCCTGCGCTCTGTCTGAGTGGAACCAAGTGGAACTGAGCACGTCAGCGGAGAACATGCACACACACTCACACACTCACGTTACTCAGCGTCCCCCCAAATACAGCTTACACCACCAGCACCGGGTCTGCCTCTGCATTATTTCTCAAACCCTGGATTAACTCCCCGTGTTCCTCTCTCTGCCTCCAAAACTAGGCCGCCATTTTAGGCCCGTCCCGTCCCTCTTGCCCTTCATTTTGAGCAGGCCCGCAGAAATCCCCACTGCGTGTCCGAGTGGTTGTCCTCCCCTGAAGGTCCCTCTAAGGTGGAGCTCCTATGGACCCCCACAGATCCTCATTCTCTGAGCTCATTTCATAAACCACATCTCTTCATAAATATTTCACAGTTGTGTGATCAAAGCCCACCTCAGTGAGCCCCTGTTTGGCTAATTGCATTGGCTGATATACACTGAATTCTGGACGTTGTGTGTCCTCTACTGTATGATAGTTCTGGAGGAAAGGATGACTGGGATGCATGGTTGTGTATTCAGCTGACCAGGGTGTTTAACTTGTGTTTCATTTGTTAAAACAGCACAGACATTGAACTGAAAGAGATTGGATTCTTGAAGTTGGGTTTAATCAACGCACAGGTCATTATCTCCAGTTATCAACATATCTGTACTGTAGTGAGTAGCATGCATAGTCATAGAGACTACGTTGACATGCACAGTTAAGTAGAGCTTATTGACCGTTATCACTCTACTTGTCAAAGGTAGACCTTTAGCCTCCTAACAATCTGCTACAGTATGCTCCCAAACAGTTGGTCAAGTCAGCCGTGCCTCTGAGTCGCCACTTTCACAACCATGATGTCCCTGTAAGGGACACATTACAAAAAAAAATTACTTCCTGTTCAGTGGGTGTCATGAAAGCAGCAAACGATTTATCCATAAAACAGGTTCTACCACCTCTACACTAGATGGCAATATGCCCACTTTGCCTTTAGACTGTCACCTGGTTGACCTATTAGGTCATACACCAAAACGCTTGGCAAATAAAACAACACTGCCTCTTGCTAACTTTTGTCCATATACAGCTTTACAGCTCTGTACCGTTTGTTTGATGATACACCAGCTTCATCTTTGAACGTTTTCTTCTTCTGTGGAGGTTTTGTTCGCAACAAGGCCTATTTAACGTATTCAGGCTGTTCAAGGCACAGCGGAGCATGCACAGAAAGCATAGTCCAGTTTGGATCTGATTGAGATGTAGATATGCAAGGCAAAATTGATCTCCAACTGCATTATCTCAGGATGTTTGTCTGACTTCTAGAAATTTAACCTACTGTGATTTCAACTGGATTGATGTTGTATTTCGGCCATAAATAAGGTGACCAGACGTCCCCGATTTCCGGAGACAGTCCGCGTTTTGGATGACCTGTCCCCGGCTAAAGGTGTCCTCGCAAATGTCCCCAATTTAAGCGTTTTACGAATGAGAAAAAAATGTTGCATGCCGACTAGAACAATGGTTATTACGGTAGCGGAGTAGGTCGGAAGCACAAGTAAGCATGTTGTGCGCAGTCCTGAACAACCGTTTTTATGGGGGGTTATTACAGGGGGCGTGTGCTGCAACTAAGTAGTACCGAGTTCTTGTCTCCAGAAATAAAGGGCCTGAAACCAGATTTTGCTTGGCACCCCCACCCCCGGATGTCCCCTGATTTCATTACAGAAATCTGGTCACCTTAGCCATAAACAAATAAATGTATTATGTTGATTTATTCGCGTGTGTTTGAACACCTGAATTTTGTGTGTTCACTCATCCCCCATGCACACCCCATTCACATGCCATATCTCGCCTACGGGAGTCCAAACATTCATTGATGCAGGAGACGAGGGGTTGCCTTCATGCCATGTCAGTCTGTTCACATCAAACATGGTTGAGGTTGACTACAACTGGAGGATTAATGGGTCACCTTATGAGAACTTTAGTCTCTAACTTTACATGTAATTCACTCACACTCCATGTTTGGTGTGAGCACAACATAACAGGTTAACATGCAATTCAGAAGTCAATGGAAGTCAATGGAGGAGCTGTTGGCAGATAAGTAAAACAATGAACAATGTACACTCAAAGGGATACTTTGAGCAGGGTGACCTTAAGTCCTCTTTTACCTGGACATGTCCTCTTTTTTGGGGGGCTGTCCAGGCTTGTCCAGCTTTGTCTGGGGAAGTTTATAAAATCCTGGTTTTGTACCAAAGTTTCGAGTTTGTGTCACGTGGACTTATTGAATTAGAAGCGCACGAAAGACACTCGATCCGACCCCAAAAACTCTTAAAATTAACTTCATGCAACTCTGTGACTCTGCCACCGCGTAGTTGTGTCCTCTTTTTGAGAAGTCAGAATATGGTCACCCTAACTTTGCGGAAAAAAATAAATAAATCAGGCTCTGAAGACAATTCTCCAGCTTGGGTCTCCAAAAAAGGCCTTACTTGTACTTGTGAATCTTCTGTAGTTTAAACATTTAGTATTCTGAGGATCAGCACACCTGACAACCCAACTAAAGGAAACCACTTCCTTTAAGTCCAGGCTTTGTTTTAGAAAAAGGAGTCTTTTTTAACTACATCTGTGCCTCGGTTATATTCTTGTATTTGGATTAGACTGTCACTCCATTAGTGTATGTGTTTCTGGTCCGTATGCTGTCCACCTGTCTCAATAGTCCATTTGTCCAGCTGCAGATAGAAGAAGACTGCTTTTAAACCACTGCTTATTTTTCCTCCCAGGCCCACCCTGGTTTTGATCGCTTTGTCACACTAAGCTCTTGTGATGCAGGAGAACAAACATGTGCATCACAGTGACTCTGATTCGAGTCATCTCCACTGACTTCAGTCTTATTCATTTCAAGTACATAGTTTTAATCTCTTTCAGCATCTTCCCTTCTATCTGAAAGTCCACCAGGTCCTCCCTTTTCTCCCGTGTGTCAGTTAGTCAGTCGTCCAAGAATGCCCCCTCTCCCTGCTCCCATTGATTCCTCAGCCTGCAGAGCGATGAAACAGCCAGACCACCTCGCAAGGGCTTTGCAGCTTTTCATGTTCTCTAAGTGCTTGGCTCTGTTCGCTAAACTCTGAAGCACTGTTTGTTTAGAATCACTCATCAATCCAGCTGAGCTTTGATGGATAAAGTCCCTCTCTTTTGATCAATTACTCGGCCTTTTCTGTTTATTTTAGCATCTTTGAGTATGAGTGTCCAGATTGTTGCCACTCATGTTCATTTAGCCCTGCAGCTCATCTCTCTTCACCTTTCATGGTCATAGACATTATTCCTGATAAAGCACTGTGTCTGTGTGATGGGTGTACATTTTCTTTATGCCGTTGAGAGAGGGCCAGTGGGGCGTGCACGCGGCCAGAAGAGGATGCGTGCTGCTGCTGTTGTTTACCTCCCTGTTTGGCACCCTTGCAGCTCCACCCTCCCTGATACAAACTTCCTCACTGCGGTCTGTCACATTTCTTTTTACCGAGGACACACGCATGATGAGATCACACACCAGGCCCCGGGGCCAGTGTTTATTATGTATGAGTAGTTTTATCCTCTAGGTGCCTGTGTCCAGGTTGGTAAAACCAGGAGAGAGGCCCAGGGTTTGTTGGCTGCTTACTGAGGGGTGGTAGAGGTGGGTGTGGTCGGGGGGCTCTGCTGCACGGCAGAGGCCCTGATCCAGGCCTGGTTCATGCGCTCTGTGGGCTCCCAAGCTAGTGTGCTAGCTCTCAACCTGGCTCTGCTTCAGACAAGCCTCCCGTGGAGGTCAGCTGTGCCGGCAGTGAAATAACACAGAGAGGGAAGAAACGTGTTGAACAGCGCACCTGTCCTCACCACAGAGTGGGGAGTAAGTCCCCTGAAGCGCACCTTTTGCATAATGTGCCAACCAGAATTTCATGGCTAGCTTTCCTGTCTTTCTTTTGCTAGTTTTAAATCTGTCTTAGCTGTAGTTTTCCAAGCTCTCTTTTTTTTCGGATAGCAGAGGAAAGAGAAAATGCAGCAGCAGTCTAATAAAGTGCCTGTCTCCATAGAGTAGACAGCTGAAGCCCTGGTTTGAGCTGGTCTTTGCTCCCCTGCTGGGTGTATTGATAAGCAGCACTGAACCCTGCGGTCAGTGTTTAATTGCATTATTTGGAGTCCTCTAGTCACCCTCCTTTTTCCTCCTTGATGGAAGGGGAGAACAAGTGTTTACTGATATAGAGAACTAAGGATCAAAAAGATATGCTGAGGGAGCGAGAGCAGGCTAACACTCGGGAGTATGATATTGATGGATAAGTGAAAGCTTCAAACCCATTGCGCCGGCTAATCCTGCAGCTATCGCTTATTACGGCAGAGGGAAGGTGGATGGCCGGAGCATAACGGGGGCCTCAGCTTTACTCAGGGTCTGACTTCACCGACCTCCCAGAAAATCTGTGGAAATCTATGACATCATTGTTCAAGCTGGCTTTTATCTTATTGTGGCTTATCGTGCCCACTGTTCCAGACATTCACACATGCACACACATACACACGCCTACAGAGGAGACTTCCAGCAGAGTGGATTAAAACAGCCTGCACACTTTGACAGACCTCGGTGGGCCCCAGTGTCTGTTCTGAGCTGTGATTGGGGACCTTGTTGCTTCTCTGGTTGGTGACACACAAAAGGAGGGGCAACAACAGAAAATCATCTCTCTGTCTGGAAAAAAACCTCTACTATGGAGTAAAAACACAAAATCGCTGCAGCTTAAGTGTTGTTTAGACATACTTGATTCACATTAACGACAAAATAAAACTAAAACCCTTTGTGGCTCTCTCTTAAGGCAGCCTTTTCTGATCTGACACCTTTTCCCGAAACAACTGTTGGCAGTGCTAGCTATCTAAATGTGATATTACACAAGTATAGATACTTTCAGTTAGTTTAACTTAATACAAACCAGCTACAATAGATTGATCTCTCGTATTAGCTGTTGCTGTTGGTCGTCAAATTAAGTGTTTAACCTAGAAATGTTGCCTTGCAGATTTTCATTATACATAGACTGTATTTCCAGTCACTAACCAATTGAAAGGCAGTTAGTTACCATTTCAGATCATCTCATTTAAATGGTCTGAGAAACGTTTAAACAGTATTTCAGCTTCCTTCCCCTCGCATGGTGTCAGGGGGAAATCGCTGCTGTGTGAGTATGGCGCATTGACAAACAGTGGGTGATGGGGCGAGACTGTTCAGAACAAAATAAAAAGAGGTTTGAACAAGTTGCCATGCTTGAGCAGTGTTGTAAACCCTCTTTTCCCTTCACCTCTGTGCCCTTCCCCTCATTCCGATGATGTGTTTTTGTGGTGGCATCTGAAAGTCGCTTTGTCCACTCATCATGCCCTCCCACACTCCAGACTTTCTATCTATATACACACACACACACACATACACAGAGGGGTCAGAGGGAAGAGCATTCATTCATGTCAGCCAGCTGCAGCCTCTTTCGCCCAATCGTGAACGCTCCCTGGACGTAAGCAGGGACCCACGGAGTCTTGAGACTCACCTCCATCCGAGCAACAATCTACGTCTGGAAATATCCTCTGAATTTGCAGCGGTTTTTCAAACACACCTGCTCAAATTGTCAAATTGTGCGTTTGTGCAACAGCGTGGAAGAGCCCCTCATTATGGCAGCCATTGTGTGTGCGCTTTTTTTCGGAGGAGCTGGGGTGGAAAGCCTTCTCACTGCGGCACAGAATAGGGTGACCATCATGTTCATTGTACAGTCTCGGGGAACTTTGAAGGCACATAGTGTGCTCACACATGCACAAATTCTCACTCTGCAGATGACACGAAGCATATCCTCACTTCCTGGCACCCGACATTTCAAGGATATCAGGGCTAATTACATCATCATTAACTCAGGCCGCATGTGTTTGCATGTGCGTACGTGCGCATACATGCTCGGTATGACATGCACGGATCTGTGCCCGTCAAGTTTTAATGAGGCTCCTCAGACAGGGCTCATTGAACCTTTTGGTCCAACATCGAACGCCTCCCAGTTCTGATGTGGGCCAGTGTGTGCCACCCGTAAAGAGCCACACAGGGACAAACACTGCTTATCAGATGGCAGAAACAGATGCACCGCTTTCAGAAAGATCACACACTGGAGGCACAAAGTGAAGAGCATTGATCCCAAATGCTCTTGAAAGTGGAGTTTTGTTTGTGCACTTCTTACTGTCGATCTCAGTGTGTGTGTGTGTGTGTGTGTGTGTGTGTGGGATTGTGGCTCTATGTGTGTGTGAGAGTTGTGGGGTCAGCGAGGAGTTCAGTGTGTCAGAGGTCTCAGAGCCCCGGCTCTTTGATTCCACTCCCTTGCGGCTCTGAGAATTTCCTCTCCAGTTTCCCAGTGCTGAGCCCACGCTGGGCAAGGAGAGCCACGCCAGGAAAATTTATGTTGATGTCAGCAATGAAAACACCACCAGCCCTCTACCACGTCTCACAATATTTGTCAAACAGCAGTGTGTCCATTCTTTCTCCTTCTCCCTTCGTTCTCTTCTTTCTCTCTCAAATATTTCCATTCTTACTGATGTACGTTTTCAGAAATCTTAAAACCGCGGTTGGCGTGGGGTTTCACACTTCACATGGTTTGTTGTCTCTGCGGGGACTTTGGTAACACGGCTCTCCATTGGTCTCCTAAGGGGCTGGGCTAGTTTTGGGGGTGTCTTTCAAGGTGTAATCCACACATATTCCCTTCCCTAAGGCCCTGTATATGGAAATCTAAAACAAACAAAAAGTCACAAAAGAATTACAAATCTCACATTATGAGCCACCTACTTTTCCACAGTTTTGTGTTCCTAGACTAAAAATTTAAGATCCTTTCTTTTTCATCATCGCTCTATTTATTCTGGATTTTTTTTCAACTGGTACCACACAGACAGTTTAAGTTTTAGGCTCAAACGTGTTTGCTATATCCAATGAAAGCCAAGAAGGGATGCTTGCAACTATATGTCCCACTTTTCACACCATCCAAACATTACCTGAACAGATAACTACATTTATTTACAGTTTTAATCTTTGTTCATGTATTTATGTCGGCAGCATTATTTCAAAAACAGGGCAAGACAAACTATTTGCTCACCAGTCAATAGAGTCAGAGGGTTTTCTAAAGTTTTGAGCGACAACCTCACACTTTAACAACCAGGAAAACCTTGTTAAAGCTCCTCCAGTTCAAGATGACTTTTGGTCGTTGTGGCTGACTATCATTACTTGTGAACCCAAAGCATCCTGGTGGCATTATAGGACCGATGTCACACCCAAAATGCCAACCAAAACAAGCGTCACTTTAAGAGTGGGTCCAGTCCACAGCAGAACAGATCCTTGGGTTGATTTGTGGCACACTCATCGCTCTGGAAAGTTCATCCAAAGTCCAACACTTTCCAATGTTTTTGTTAATCTGCATGCAACCATATCATTCTCACAACACCGTCATGTGATTTGCTTTGACATGATACAATGTCTCCACAAGCTGCGTTATAGGATCCCTCACTGTTGGGAAGTTGTTGTCCATCAAGCTACATGCCATAGGTGCTATTTTCATAGTGAGTTTGGCTCCACCTGAGAGTGCAGGTCACTGATATCAAGAGTAAGAAAAACAAGTTTGTGCTCGTGAGTTGGTTGTACGATCTCTTTATCTTTATATGTAAAGAGAGCAGTTCTGTAATTTTTTACAACAGCATGCATTTGCAAAAGATGTTTCTCAGAACCTCAAGCGCACCAAGAATTACTGTCCTGCCGGTGCATCATCCAGTGCAGAGATAGATTTTGTTCGGACTCCTGCATTTGTTATAAAAACCTGTTTTATCTGGTTTATTGTTTCACTTCGTCAGGAAGAAAGGCAGAGCTTTTATCTTAACCAAACTGTCAACTCAAGCAAGATAAAGCAGGTTAAAGGTAAAGGTACAGCGCCCCCTGCTAAACAGAATTGCGCTCTTCCTGCCCGTGCATGAGTTAACACGCATGAATACACACAAACATGCACACACGCAGGTTTTCTGGTCAGTGTGGGTTTTGAAAGTCCTGTAGCCTGAGGGTCAGTGATAAGACTGCACTGATTCTTATTGGCTGACAGATTCACAGGCTCTCATGACACAGAGAAGACAAGCAACATGTGGCGCATTTGTGTGTGTTTGTAAGTGTGTGTATGTTTATGGCGGGTTTAAAGTATTAGGGGCAAAGCTGGATGAGATGTTTCTATGACCTTTAAGGTGTTGGCCTGTTTCTTTGTGGGGGATCAGTATTTTTAGGCGTCCATCTTGGAGAAAAACAGCGCAGTGGGAGAGCAGAGGCAGGTGAAACCGAGATGTGTGCATGTGTGCGGTTGTTTGTGTGTGCAGAGGATGGCTCCAGTCCAACATGGCCCCTGCCTTTGCTCCGCCCTGCCTCCTCTGTTCCTCACACAAACACACGTACAACAACTCTTGGTTAGTCATTTACGCTTGGCCAGATTTGGACCGGGGCCATGCCTTCAGGCAGCTCCAGTCCCTTGATTCCCAGCCTGGTCCCGCTGGCCCTCAAACCCAGCCCCAGCCTCCCTCTACTGGGAGGCAGGAGCAACGGCTCGGGCTATTATCTGCAGCTAAATCACCAGATTGCTATCGCCTTTCGCAGCTTTTGTATTTTTATTACTATAACTGATGGAATGTGGAATTAGGTGGCATACATATTTCACACACAAATAGGCTCCAACCTTGTAGCATCAATGACTGGATCTGTGTTTTGCTCTGATGTATTTTGCATTTCTACATGCTTTGAATTCGAAGCTGCTCTTTTGCATGCTTCCTATCCATAATTCATGTCATCTGCAATCTTAAATATGTAATCTGCAGTGTATTCTTTTGTGATCTTTGGTGAAGCCCCTGTGCTAGATTAAAAAACATGATCACACCTTTCTGTGAGGCCTCGCTTAAACAAAAAGCTTCTTCTTTAAAGGAAAATAGTTGCTGCTGGATGCAAGCATGTGTGAAGAGGCCATTTATGAAGAGTCTCCTTGACAGTAGACATGACAAGCGGGTATTCTAGTCACGTTTCCCCCTCGCCTCCTGCATGGCATCCATCCATCATCTCATTGGTTGGCATGCCTGGCTCCTGCCATCATCACCATGGCAATGTGAGTGTCCTCCTGGTAGCCATCACCATGGCAATGGGAGTGTCCCCCAGCAACCATCAGCATGGGCCGAATGTAAGCCTCTTAACCAGGATCACCATGGCAATACGGGGCTGCCGAAACACAGATCTGTGGTATGTTGTCTGTGGGTATGTGTGTGTGTGTGTGTGTGTGTGTGTGTGTGTGTGTGTGTGTGTGTGTGTGTGTGTGTGTGTGTGTGTGTGTCAGACAGAGAAAAAAATGGGATATGAGTTGTATCATCCGGCGCTGATGATGGACTTTTTCGTCATTGTCTTTCTCGAGTACATCTTTTCACGTCTCACTGCTTTAGCGTGGTGGTTTGGTGCTGTGATGTCGCCCCCTGTCCTAAATAGGGGCCCTGCAGGAGGCTTAAATAGCCCTGATGGAGCCGCAGTCCATCCCATCCCGCTGCTGAATACTCCGGGGCCCCCGAGGGAGTTTGCCGTCCCCGTCTGCTTGGGACATCATCTAGTGTCTGTGTCCTGACACACAATAGTGAAAGCTGACAAAACCACAGGGGGCCGAATTTAGGAGGAGCGAGAGACGCATGCCACCGCTCTCGCAAGGACATGGACGCATGACACACACGGTGACACCCTTGTAAACAAACACTAGCACTCACATGCACACATATTTTTACAGTGCATGCACACTCATGTGCAAAATGTGCTGCTACAGTTCTGCAAAGACATGCACCCATGCACACACACACACTCACACAGAGTTAATTGTGCATATTCATGAGCATACATACAGGGTGTTCCGTTTCGCAAGGCTGACTTTTATTGTTTCGCTGGTGTGTACAGTGTATGTGTGTGTGTGCACTGACGCACATGAGTGTGTTTATATAAGAGCATTAGTGCATGTGTGAAAGCATGTGTGTGTGTGAGCCTCCCTGTGTGTGTGTGCATTTAGCTAAAGAGCCTGGTGGGTATGAAGAAGCATAGCTTTAAGGTATGATATGTTAATAAAATGTGTCAAGATGTCTGGAACCCTTTCTCTCTTTATAAACAAACTTACAGCCTGAGCGCTGCTAATTAGCAAGCCCATCTGTTCAGTTTAGCAAAGTTGTTGAGATTTACCACGGAAACTGTAAAAAGACAAGCTCACTTCCACACGGCAGATGACAAGTGTTAGAAATCCCAAATTCAATTCCCCAGCCTGCCGTCTCTCGTTGAGACTCTTTTTCAATTACAATCTATTAATATATTTCTTTATTGATACATCAGCAAATAAATTGAAAAGCCCTTGATTTTTTTCCCTTTTTCTTATGTTAAAGTGAGCACTCTCACACGCCAGCAGGACCGCAGTGTTCGCTGAGGCACAGCATATGAAGATACAGGGTTACATTCCCCAAACAGCATCATCCAAAGCTGTGGCAATTTGCTGCGAGAACATTAATTGCTGTGGCTGGGGCCCAGGTTCTGCATGCTAAGCACTCTCTGCAGCTACGTCTGTAATGCGTGTGTATGAGAGAGTTTGTATTTGCGTTTTTCGCTTGCTTATGTGTGTGTGTGTGTGTTTGTGCGTGTGTGCCAGTGTCGGGTAGAAGGGGGGTGCACAGGGGGTCCATCTGCTCTCTTCTGCTCCTCTGCACTGATATAAGATTACGTTAATCTGGGTACTTGTCAGGACAGGTTAGTGAAAGCAGACGACTGGGTGGGACTCATGCTAAACAGGTTGGCTGGAAAACGGCTGTTTTTGCCCGCAGACTCTGTGGTGTGGGCTCTGGCATAGGGCGGTGGATAGCGAGCAAACAGTTTCGTAACTGCAGTGGATTTTTTAAGGCCCTACAGTTTGACCATACGCTCTTGAAAAAAAGCCTGGGAAGCTCTTGGTTATAAGGGGAAGTCAGTTTGTTGTTGATGTACCCTTTAGGTCATCAAATCCTTCTTTTTTCTGGAATAACACAATTCTGCAAAGTCCTGTTTCTGTGATCCACATAAGATAGGCATGCATCAGCTCTGTGTCAGCTATGCTCACAACAGAAGCATGAAAATTACACTATAGCTGTTTTTCTGGGACAGTTTTGAAAGATTGTTCACAGCTTTTACTTTTAAGTTTTGTCTGTGTGAAATAACTTACCTGCACAGCTCTTTTTTAGAGCCTATAGTGAATTTTTACAAGAAAAAAGTTGACATTTGTCACATTGAAGGCAGGTCAATTATGAAATCCCATCAAGTTATGGGAAAAATATTCTTTTACAATCTCCCTCTTCCTTTGCATCCATGCCTCTGCCCCTCTCACTGCTCTGCCATAATCTGTGAGTGAAATACATGACAGACCAATCCCCGACAGCTGTTTAATTCTGGAAATCAATCCCTGATGAGAAAAAAATACACATGAAGCAGTCATAATTTAAGTACAAAATAAACTGATCAAATAAAATCAGGGGAAAGACAGGATCAGGATGTAATTCGGTACAATTTCTTTCTCATCTCTTAGTCACTGCAGTTTTTTTTTTGGTCCATCACTGCGCTTACAACCCTTACAGACGGATGCCAAAAAAAGATGAGTGGTACTTATTGATAATTTTGACACCCTTTCCAATTCGTTTATGATGGAAATGCGAATGATTGTGCACAAAACCGTATCGAACTGACATGAACTACTTGGTGGCTTTACTTTTCTGTTTGCATGTGTCAGTCTTGTGGAAGTCAAGCCCCAGTTTGTTTGTGTCCCTGTCCTCCCCCTGTGTCATCTCTGTTGTGTTTGCCCCCCACTCCATCCCCCAACCATTTTTATTCAATTAAATAGCCCTCCTAAATCCCACCCTGCATCCTGTGCGCTTCTGATGTTGTTTTCTCTGTAAGCACTTTTAAGGCCGTAATGATTTTGTAAGTTGTTATGCTAATTAGCACGGCCTTCTCAGACTGGGTTGCAGGGAGAAGGATGTATTGCCCGTTTGCTCTAAGGGGAAGAAAAGACAGAGAAGTTAGAGTAATTAATCCCGTTAACCAAGGATAATTGGGCAAAAAATAGCCCAGCCACTGGCACTGAGTGGGAGGAGTTGCAGTTAACCCTGTTTCCTGTGTTTTATTTCAAACTTAATGTTTCCTCTTGTTTAAACTTCCTCTCAGGATTCCTGCTAATCCTCCTGCTTACGCCCCATTGGTGGACTGGATCAACATTGGGGGTCATAGAGAGGAGGTGCCTGACTTCAATCAAACACTGGTGAGTTTTTGTGCAAGCAGTCAGAGTGGAGTTTGGTAACAAAAATGAACTTTTAAAACTAGTTTGGTCTGAAAATGAAATTATCTCTACAATCTCTACAAAATCAAATTTTAATGATTGAACCAAGTGAAAACATCTTGTGAGACTTAAGTCACACTGAACAACAGGTCAATATATACTGTAGACCGTACTTCAATTTATTAAAAGATAAAAAGAAGTCTTGGTTTGCCCATGATGATTAAAACTATCTGTTTTTACTCATTAAATCAAACTGTTAAACTTTTTAGTAACTTATTTTAAAAAAATTGCATACTATATCAACAGATACTTTTGCTCACCACTCTCAATTAAGTCATTATTTTTTGGCCTTAAATGTCATAAAAGTAGATTTATTTCTAGACTTCTGATGTGAAGGAAACTCACTGATAGCGAAATATTTTGACTTAAGATCAGATAAATTTAAGTTTTTTTTGCAGTGTAAATGTTTTTTTTTTTGGAATGAATCATTATTTAAGCAGGAAATATTGCCAATGAGATGTAAAATGTCTTTTTAAAAGAGTCCTGGTCAAGATAGCAACATGAAAAATGTCACACATCGTGCAAGACAAACAACAAACACTAGACAACAACATAACCAAACACAGTGATTGATAAATTATCACCTTTAAACAGAAACCATGCACATTCACTTCTCAGGTAAATAATAAAAACATGAAATCACACCAGTTTATATTAGATATGATTAAACATTACAATATAAAAATCATAAATATTATTCCTGATGGTCTTGTTTGCTTTGGGATATCATGAAATAAAATCAAATGTATAAAATTCAGTCTGTTTCGTAAATGACAAAAAACTCCTTATAGGAGCTTTAATGTCATTCTGTGTATCTACGTACATGTTCAGGCTTTCCTTAAACAACACAAGGTATATATAAAATGCTTCTATTTTATGACCTTACTGGCTGTAGTTAAGTTTTGTCTTTCACCTAACTGTTTTGCATTAACATGTTTTTACAGGGACAAACATTTTCCCGTTTTTACAGTGGAATTCCCATGCACAGAGCCTTTTATGATCAGCTGCAACAACAGGCAGCGCTAACTCATTCCATACCCACAATCCTCTCCCTCAGGAAAAACACTCATCTGTTTTTGTCAGTACCATGCCGGGACTGTATCAGTCATCCACTTTCAAGGAATTTACAGGCTCAAGTAAGACCTCCTTGAAGATGTATTTGTGTTAGAGAAGAGGGACGAAAAAGAGAGAGAGCTTTTTCAGAACGGCTGGGCCAGTGTTTGAAAAGGCTGCCATGATATTCAGAGAAGTGGGGAGATAAGAATCTATATTCAAACATGACCTTTGATGTGATATTTCTGTTTCCTTCTTGGGTCCAGATCTCATTTTGTTGCACATGATAAAGGATTCAGTTCTTTTCATACAAAAGCCTTTTCTTGTTTATATGATTCCACTGAAATTAGACCATTTTTTCACTACTTCTTCACCAAAACAAGGACTGTTTTCTATACACTTTTGGCAAGAAAGATAAAAACAAATTTAAAAATTCAACATTTCTGTGCTGCTGTTGCTAATTGCTGTTTTGATTGTTTTCAAGTTTAGTTATTAGCCACATTAGGTCAGATTAAGGACAAGCATGCCGAGACAAAGCCAGGTAATTAAGAGAGGATATGGACGCTGGAGTCAGCCCCTGTCCAGCTACACTTGACTTCATTAATACGGCTAGCTTAAATCAACCGTCACAATGCTAGCAGGAAGGCTGTGTTTTTCTCAATGTGAACTTGTAGTCCTGCCTCCCAGCCTTCACAATAGGCTGTTTAGCATCCACAGTATGGCTATTGTCACTGTCAGCCCATAGGATGGGAGGCAAGGGCATGGCAGAGGGGAGAAGTTAGGGGTGAGCCCATGACATACCCTCTCGCAAGCAAAGGCTCTCATTAATTACACCCTAAAGATAATTATTTTCTTGATTTGTTTGCTCTCTCTCTCTGACCACATTTCCCATTGTGCTGCCTGTAATTCTCTCTGCTCTTGTTTACTTTATTTATCTATTTTTGTGTTTACCCCCCTCCCTTCCTGCTCACACCATATGGTTGCAGATCAAATAATGTCAAACATTTTGCCCTTGCAAGTTTTTGCAATTTGCAGTTTCCAAATGTGAGACCTGTTGAAAGCAGGAGTGATAATGGGCACGCTCTACCCCCCGTCGCTTTTGTCCCACCATATCTCCCTTCAATTAATGCTACAGCGGGAGTTTCATGTAATAACACTTGCACTTCTGAGCTGTCCACATGAGAGCGAGAGAAGAGAGGGAGACAGGAGAACAGAGGAGGGAACACGGGGGAGGAGGAGGAGGAAGAAGTTGGAAAGAAGAGGGAGAAAAAGAAGAGAGGAGAGAGAAACAATTAAAAACATGGCTGGGATGCCATGACGGGCCTGTGTTGTGTGGCCATGTGAATGTTGCATGACAGCTAAATGGGGCAAAGAGTGGGACGATGTGATTGGCGGTTAAGAGAGCGCATGCTAAGCTTGTCCATCATTGTTGCTCAGCGCAATCAAACTGGTGCCAGCAGGATGGAGGATGCGTTGACAGCTGTAATTACCCATCGCCATGGTGATCACTTTTGGCCCGCCGTGGATGGCCGGTGGAGGCCCCTCCTCCAGGCAGCCTTTAATCAGATTGGGCTGTCAGTTGTCAGGTAGACACGGGAGGGCTGGACACTACTGTCTTGGGTCCATAAGTGTTTTTAATTAGGTGTTTTCATACAAAGAGAAGACTCTCCAAATCATGAAAGATACATACAAACACCCCACCAGTTATTGGAGTGCAGGGTCCACCAAGATGCCTTTGTGTGACTGCAGAAGAGGAGCGTAGGTGGACTGCGTGTTTTTGTATGTGTTCATTTATAGGACTTATTATTACAGCTCACAGGATGTCTCTTTGTGGTTATCTATAGCATCTCATTGTCTCTCCATATCATAGCAAACATAATCATTGTCTCAATGCGCCTCTGTTTGCTTGTACTTTAGATTGATCTATTTAATTTTGTAGTTGAAGTTATACGTACCCAAATTCCAGGTCTTTGACAAAGCCCACACTGTGATCTAAATCACTATAGAGCTTAATCCAAACGTGTTTTCCTCTTTAGTACATACTTTTAAGGCTGCTAAAACCCAAACCCACAAAGTCTTTTTGTAGTGTCATTTGGGTTTGAAAGACATTACTGTGAAGATCTCAAAGTAGAATTAAAGAACAAAATAGGGCTGTCAAAATATCAACATTTTGCCTCATAATTATGGTGGCAAAAATGTATCACAACAAGGATATTATCACCATAATTATGGAAAAGTTGGCTTAAAAACAACACTGTAAGTAAAAGGCAAGAAAAGGGTGGAGCAACAGGATAAACATGTGTATATATATATATATATATATATATATATAGGAACATATATGTAAAAAGTCTGTTACACTTACAAATAAACACGGATAATTCATATGCCACCATCCATTTCTAATTTATGATTCAGCCACATCATTGGTGGTGTCATTTCATCTTCTTTACAGTAGACATTGCCTTTTTTGGCATGCTTTTATTTTGTTGTTTTTTCCTCTACATTTTAAAACAATGTTTTTGGTTTCAACTGTAAGCCTCTTCCTGTGAGCTATGGAGCCGCATGAAAACAGAATAATGGTCCTGAAGTGGAGACACAATATCAATATTCAATAAATTGATAAAGACAGTTACTGTAAATACCCATATATGGCTTTCCTTTCAAGCTGGGTTTATTTGGAAAATGTTATGAAATTCGAAACATTAGTCCCAGTAAATAATCTCAGACCATAAACAGCATTACATTTATATTACCCATTGAGTGTGTTTAGAGCTCAACAAAGGCATTTGCTATCATGGAAATGTTGACTCATCCTAACGTTTGGTCAGCCAATGAGCAGACAAAAAGGTGGAGTTAAGGGAGACTTCAAATATGGCCGCTCCACATTAGAGGTTACTGCTAAAAGACCAAATGGTAACGTATAACTAGCAGCCAATGTTGAATGTCAACCATGGTTACATTTTTTTCAGCTACAAGAACTCAGTGAAGCCCATCAAGTAACACTTTTCGTAACCAGATTGATGTTGGCAAAGCGAAAGTTGCCATGAGCAAAGCCAGGTAGATGCCAATAAAGCCCTCGCTGGTTTTGCCCATGCAGTCCGAACAAAATGGTGAAAAACTTGAAAAGAGTTTATTTTTTCTGATCTGGATGTTTCAATAAGATCAGTCTTCATGCTAAATGAAAATCTGAACTTTGCATTCAAACTATTTACACCAAATCTCTGGATAACCTACTTAAAGTTTATTCAACATATGACTCCACATCATGTCAAATCATTTTAAATCCCCGAACAGACCTTTGCAAAACTCAAGAAGTGACCAAAAAAGTATGAGTTCCCCCCTTTAAGTCCAGGAAAGGGTCAATAGTTTTTCGTGCTTTCATACAGTAAGACTTTACATGACTCACCAACTGTCCCTTAATGTGACGCTCTGATAGCAGCCCATAATGGTGCAGAGCTGGAGGTAACTGAAAGTGCCAGGTACAGCCTGATAATGTCAGTGTGATAATTAGTGCAGAGAGGCTTAAACCAGCGGCCCACAGGGAGACAGCCCCCGGTGCGGAGAGATGGCACGCAGCTGGATCAGAGTTAATTAACTAATTGAATATCATTTTGCCAGTTAGCTGGAAATTAGCTGGGTATTAAAACATGGACAAACACGGCACTAAATGGACATTATAAAATGAATATGAAAGAACGCCTTTTCCTTGCAAACGCTAATGGTCTGATGATGAGGGCTGATTTTCATTCCATTAGGCATAATGAGCACTTTTCATTACTTGATGCTCATTTTTCATCATTTTTCTATGTTCTCATAAGAATTTATGTGAACTATCAGGTATTTTTGATTCTTCACGTCCTCACAGGTCAATGCCAAGTTGTGTGAATGTGTAAGTATGTGTGTGTACTGTGAAAGTATGACTTTTAATAAGTCCCACATGAGATAGTATGAGACTCTCGCTGTGAGGGAGGAATATGGCTTAAGACGTTACAAAAATATCTCTCTAAAGGAGGTCAAGCTCATCCTGGGTGACACTGAAAACTGGATTAAGTCGCACTGATTTCCAGAGTGTTTATCTCAAATTGGACATTTTGTTCCACATGCATAACCCTCATTTCAGTCTTTCTTTTTTTCATTTTTTATTATGTAATGCAGCTTTAAATGGCTGTTAACCATGTTTTTACAAAGGCTATTGTTTTTAGACATAGTTTGGGCTGGCTCTAAACTGAATAAACTCATGCAAGTCAAGACGTTAAATTTGATGGTTAAGTTTTATAGTATTATATGTGATAACATAAAGCTGATGGGTCATTAAATTTACAGCCATGAAAAATTGTGGTGCAATTAGACTCAGGGGAAGTCCCCTTACTGAGGCTGTGCTCGTGCCCCTGCAAAATCATGAGCTCCATGAGAACTTTGACATAGTTTACTCCATGAATGCTGAAGAAATAAGATGTCATACTTAATCTATTTCACTCCTAAAACAAACTCTCTCAATCAGGTCAACATGATTGTCCATATACGACAGGTTTGATGAGAAATGCTAATGGACCAAAGACTTTGTGTTTGGTTCATTTTCTCAATTGAGGGGTGTTAATTGTATTTTTCATTATTTATTTATTTTTTCAAGAGGACAGTAAAGTGGATGATATAAGATAGAGAAAAGAGAGTAGAAAATGTCCTGAAAATAACGGCAAATGGCAGGAATCAAGGACGCGGGACTCTGTGCATGGGGCGAACTATTTAACCAACACCTATCTGTAGTACCTTTTAAATCTCTCTAAAATACCATTGCGAGTGCTGGAGCTTACTATCTGTAGTTTTTTTTTAAATAGAAGTTCTGATGGGGAGTCATTGAGATGTTTACATGTATTGAAATGATCAGTTATGTCCAAAATTAGCAACTACTGTTTAGTATAGAAAGTTTTTATGTCAGGTATTGATTTGCAAAGGTATTGAACTATTGTAGGTAAAAGTCTTTTAGATATTATTTTAGGAAGCTGCTACATGTAATGGGGATCTGATCATGAATTGCTGTCCCTTTGTTGAACAACACTGGATCTTAATGATAGCAGAAATTAAATCACAGCCTTTTAGTCATCAACCCATCTAGTCCTTATAATCTAGCTCTCTCTTATAACTATCAGCATCTGTATGTAGGCATTTGGAACAATCAATAAATAATTAAAATAAATAAATCAAAAAATGTACCATGAGAGTATAAATCCAATTGAAGTGAATAAATGGTACATGTTTTTGAGGCCATCTTAGTTCCAGTAGTGTGCAGAGAACAACTACCCCCTCACTGTACTGTATATTGAAGGAGAACAATGCTATGCACTGTATATCACAGCAGATTGAGTCATCTTAATATGGGGATCAGCATGAGGCATCAGGAACCGCAGGAGGAAGCCACTCACTATTACATCCCCGGTTGTTGTGCCGCTGCCACCCCAGTTGCTCTCCACGCAGTAATAAACAAATAAAGTGGGAGAAATTAATCCCTCTGGAGCCATTGTGGGCATTTCACGTCACCCGCCACCGTGCTCCCCAGCTGCTTCTGTGTGCTTGTGGTGGTGTGTCTCTCTCTGTGTGTGCGAGTGTGTGTGAGTGTGTATGTAAATTTAGTGGTGTGTGGCCTGTGTGTGATGTGCACGGCCCATACTGAGAAGGGAAAAAAGGGTGAGTGTAAAAATACACTGACATTACCAGTAATGATGAAATTAAGTAAAAAAATAAGTCCAAGTAAGACAGAGGATACGGTTTACTCTGAAGATACTTTAAACCTAAAAAAAAAACGAAGAGAGATATAGAAAAAATTATAATTAAATCTTAACAAACTTCTTTTAAATTATTTTTAAAGCACTTAGTAGAAATGGCTGCAAGGAAAGGAGATGACTGTCCAATCATTTTTCACAAAGCTCAACAAGACAATTCAAATGAGCTACATTAGTGATAAGAACAGACATACACTTCATATTTCTTTTCATCTTTTTTTATATTTTGCTCCACAGATTTAAAAGTAAAATCTTTGGATCGATTTCAGAGAGAATTGTGTCATGTGACCAACAAGGCTTTTTTTGCCGTTTGTGTTTAACCTCACAAAACTTCAACAAGACAACATAGACATGTGATTTAAGTCCTGAAACCTCTGAGGATAAGAACAGCGATGTTCTTTCTCTTCCTATTCATCCTTTTTTTTTCCCAATTTGCCAAATAAAATCTTCAATTTAATTTCAGGAACAGAGAGTTGTATGTACAGCGCATGCTTGTATAATTCAGGTACCCTCTCACATCAGATGAAAAGCATGTAACCACAGGAAACTTCGATAATGTGCAATATTTGACTTGAGATTTTGAAGGATAAGCTCTATTTTCACCTGTGTTTAGAGCCACACTAGTAGATCCAGTCTTTTAAAAAGGATAATTGATTACTGTTCAATTATAAGTAACTTTAACAAAATATGATGGGATAAAAGGAGCTTTACGCTTTATTTTTAAGCACCTTTTTCATTTTTTGTAGCGTCTATTTCCTAATAAATTCTTCAGGTTAATTTCAGAAATAGTGTGAGGTTTTAACCTGTCTTACACTGTGACATCTATTAGTCTGAACACACAACATGTTTGCCACCACAGACATGTTTGTCTCATAATTTTCTCCCAGTGTGATGGACTGTCTGACAACCAGCCCATGTCTGTCATTAACTCCTGTTCCCCTGCATTGATTAAACTATAACTCTGTTGTTGAAATCTATGTCTAGCATGAACAACCGCGTGCCCATGCTTCCCTTTCAGTCAATCACTCAGTCATAAAATTTGATTTCATAAACTAATCACAGAACATAAATTCATCTCAGCCTCTCAATGAGCTAAACTGGCTGAAAAGGAAAATGACTTCATACGGCGAAGTGTTTCTGCTTTCGTTCATCGCCACAGAGAAATTCTTCCTCCTCAGATCTTAACACACCCACACACAATAGGCATTTAGTATGTGTGTGGGTCAGCACAACAAAGGGGCTTATGGCTTGTTGTTTCCTAATTAAGAATGTAAAAAGGGGATTAGGCTTCAAACGGCAGCGTTTTTGTCGTTTCCTTCACTCGCCCAGCAGTCGAGGTACGGGTTAGTTCTAATGTCGCCCATTATCGCTCTCTTGTGTTATTTTCCTGACCACAGTCCTTCCTGTCCTCCTCACTGTCTTCATCTCTTTCTCTTACATCCCCCTGTTTTTCACCCCCTCCTCCTCCTTCTTTCCCTGGTGGCCAAAGTAGCACAAAACGTACCGCTGGAACCCCCCCCACGTCCACCCAAACCCCCTCTTTCTGTTTCTCTGAAATAAGCAGTATTCTCTGGCCCTGTTTGATCCTTTGACTATGCAGGGGCTTCATGTCTGGCCAGTGTTTTTGGATCAGCAGGTAGTCGCAGGCAAGCTGTTAAAGGGGTCATCATTCTTCTCTCTCTCTCTGCTCCTCACACACAGATGGGGACCTGCTGAACTCTGCCAAAGGTCAGCGCTAAATTACATATTTTATGAATTCTTCTTTAGTTCAAGCTTTTGTTAAAGAGGATGCAGAATAGTGCAACGCCAGAAAGAGGACGATTATCTGACAATTTCAACTTTATTTAGAAATTTGAGAGACGTTTCTGTAAATTTCCTCCCCCTTTCTCCTATTTCACGCCTTTAAGAATTGATTTATCTTATTATTATTTTACTTTGTTGCACTTAGCCTTTCCTTTATCCAACGCGGGTTAAAAGGGACGTCTGTGATGTGTGATGTTCAGAGGGAGACATTTTGGCTCACATCCAGCTTATTGTATGCCAGTCTGGGCCGTGCTGCCATAGTGTTACAGCAGCCAGATGACAACCGCCGGCACGCCATTTAAGACCTCAGAAAACAACATCTCTAAAGCATGTCAGATGCATTAGGGATGGAAATAAGCATTTTCGCTGCTTTTACCTTTGTTGTAAAAGAGTGCTTGATTCTGTGCATGAATGGAAATGAAAATTTCTCCCATTTTTTTTTTTAATAGCTGCTGCACGCGCACCGAACTTGAGCGAGGTAGAGATAATAGTGGATGTAGTTGGATAATTCCATGTTGCCATCAGATGCAGCATCTGCCATCAGGTGTCTTCTCAACAGGGATCCCGAATGGCGCTAGAGACTCAAGTATATCTGCTTTCACACTGCTGAACATGACATTTGAACGTGCGTGTGAGAGAAAAAAGAGAAACCTCCGTGCGTGCGCACACAAACACACTCTCAGACTTCACAGAGGCTGTGTGAGAGCCAGAATGCAGAAAGCCTGAGGGCTGTTGTGTCTCTGATGTTTGTATTGTTTACTCTGTTGTCCCAGTGCATGTAGGAGATTGTTGCGCACTTAGGCCTCAGTCCAGCCTTGTATTATTTACTCTGACTGGCGTGGACAGCAGGTTACTGTCCAGGAGAGCTGAAAGGCCGAGCAAACAGAGCGATGAATAAAAGAGGCAAAGATCGAAGGAGACAGAAAGACATCATTGACTATACCTTTGCCCCCTTATATTTGCTCACATACTGCTCCTTCTTCTTCTTTCTTAGTTTGTCTTTGATCCCTTCTCCTCAAACCTCTGCCCCCATGGGTCACCAGCTGTCAGACAGCCAGAGGAGGGTGCCGCCTCTCTTCTTATCCTCCCTTCTCTCACTTTTTTTTTTCTGCCGATTGGGATACGTTTGCACCCAGGGAATCATTTGGGAACCCCAGGTAAGTGAACCGAAGCCACACAGATGTTAATCTCCTCTTGGCCCCCCTCAGACATGCACCGCACTCCTCCTCCACCTCCTTCTAGGTCGCTTCCTTCTTTTTTTCTTGCCCCTCTTGCCCTAAGTCTCTGAAATCTCATTGAAGAAAGCAAACAGAGTTGAAGTCTCTTGATTGAGTTTCTTTTTTAATAGGGAAGGGGAGAAAACGGGTGGCAGATAGGGCAGTGGGATGTGTCTCGCGGCTGGGTGTAAGGGCCTCACTTTGGGCACGCAGGCAGGTGAGCTGCTCCTCACCTCACCCTGCTCCTCCTCCTCTTCAAACAATCCGGTTATCTGTGTCTATTACAGAAGGGCGGCTGACGGTCGGGATAAATCCTCCCTCTTCCAGACGTGTTCTGGGGCCCTATCAGCTGGGGACAGGACCTTGAGCCCTGATGAGAAAACTGGTCCAGGGAAATTGAATTAGCTATTGTGTCTGGGACTTCATTGATTGCTATTAGAGCTGGCCTGGAGCTGGGTGAGCGAGAGGAGTTAAGCCTGTCTGAGTGGACTGCTCCATTTGAACTTAAGGAGGAGATTTCAAGTTAGACTTTTGCAGTTTGTGGTTGGTGTTTGTTATGAGCTGCTCTAATGACTTCAATCTTGTCTCTTAACTCTTGAAAACGTACAAATGAGAAGTTCCAGGTATCAAAATTATTGTATTTCCTCAGTACGAGAAGTTACCAGCCTAACTGTTAATGCAGCCTTTCAGTTACTTTAAAAAATTGTCTTTTTTTACCACTATTGTCAGTGCAAGTTCGGGCAAGCTTAAGCTAATCGCTGATGTTGTTAGCTGCAGAAAATAAACTTAAAAATGTAGAAGGGAAACATTTAGTGTCCAGGAAGGTACCTGTTTATCTTATAATCCAAAATAAGAGCATACTGTATGTAAATGTTTGATCTGCTGTGAAGAAAATATTTTGAAGATGCATTTTGTACGGAAGCAATGAAATTTACAAAAACACACTTTTTTTTTTAAATCTAGGTGGTTGGAAAAAAAAGTTTCAACTTTGACACCCTCCTCCAGGCAAATGTGCGAAAATATTACTAGACATTGCTGAAATGAAAGATCTTTTTAGCACCTAAAAATGGTGAGAAAGACTTAAAGCATGATTTTGAATGTTTCCTGAGGGAAAACTATAGTCAAAATAAGGAAAATACTGCAATTTCCTCCCCCGCACCCATAGACACGTATCTCTAGCAAGAAGCCCTTTGCCACCTCACTGCTGAAAAGATTTAACAACTATGAATGATGTTTACAGAATAGGAAACACACTAACAGGGTTTTAACTGTAAAAGTGAGAGGTTTTTAACTTTCTGTTGGTGAGTTTGTGGTTTTATACAATGTTTTCAACCATATCACACATTAAAACCAAATTTCAAGACCAAAACCATAATTTTAAAATAAATGATGGCAGACTATAGGTGTGTCAAAGCTCTTCATTGCTACGTCAGAACCCTTTAATGCTTGACTCTAGGATATATATAGCTCACCAGTTCGTCAATTGAATAAAATTAAAATGGTAGAATTGGGTATTTGCTACACTTTTTGTAACTTAGCCATTATATAGAAAATAGGCTTTGTCCTATACACCTGAGCAACACATATGCCAGTTTAAATGCAGAGGGTGGTATTTTATCGCTTTATGGTATTTTACCCTGAAGATGGTGCTAAAAGAAGCAAGCAGACTGAAGTTTGACAAATGAACAGTGTAGATGGGCTGTGTGAGTCTCTGCAAATTGTCCTCACCTCACACCTATCAATCAATAGATTTACATGTGATAAAAAACAAACAAACAAACTGAAAAAAAAACCAAACTGAAATTTGACTGAAATTGGATTTTTAAAGAACTTGTGAAAACATCAATTGGAGTAACTACCTGTAACTGAAACTGGCTTAAGTGTTCTGTGCAAGCGTAGCACGCACGTGATGCCTGGAAGTTGGAGAGTGAAAAAACAAACCAAAAAAAAAAAAAAAAGGACAAAGTAAGGATGCAAAAAAAGACAAAACTTAATAATGGTGCAAACAAATGTTCAATGTACATCTTGTTAGCCTCTTGCTAACACATTTTACCAACTGTTTTGATTTGTTATAACTCAACGGGGAGACGAAGAGGTAGTAAATAGCTTCTGTTAATATTAAGGTTTTTGTTTTTTTATGTTATAACTCAACTGAGAGATGACCAGATTGTAAATTGCTTCTGTTAATATTTAGATTTTTGCCCAGTGCATGTAAACTGGGACAAGGACTGTAGTCCAGTTAAATCTCCTAAGCAAGCCATAACAAGATTAATAGTACAAGAAAGAGCTCTACAGCTTGGTTGAAGTTGCATGTTGTTGAATTTATTTGTAAGAAATGGAAGTCTCCATGCAGAAAGAAAACCTTGTCTTGCATACCACTGCAACTTTTATTCTTGATTTTATCTTTGCTTCTCCGTGTCCGGTCATTCGAAGGGTGCATTTTTAACACATTTTTATTCTTACCTTTAACAGTCAGACATAAGAAAGTGCCAGCCTTGAGCTCATTACTATAATTTCCAGAAATGGCCCATCAAAAAATAAAAGCTTAAATGTGCCTGACTTTGGCCATATCAGATTCAAATACTTGACATTTTAATCTGAAACTATAATTAAGAAAAATGGGGGGAAAAAATGCAGATTTTGAAAGGAAAAGGACAAAGCGTAGGAGAGAAAGATTATCATGACAATGTTCATACTGCCATGAGTAATGGTGTGAGTCAGTCATGTTAGAAGTGGTTAACAATGAGAGTCAAACGTCTATAAATGTGACAGGTCCTTTGGCTGAGATGATGGATGGAGTCTGTGATGCAGACACTTCCTGTTTCTCTGGGCGCAGAGCCGCGGATGAAAGAGCCGCAGTGTGTTTTTAAACCGAGGAAGAACAATAGGTCAGTGGAAGAAAGAGTTCCCCTGACCTGACCCCCCCTTCTGTTGAGGCTGGGCCCTGATAGTTCTGACACCACTGATCTCTGCGGCTGACTCACACAATGAAAGAGATAGCAGATACCTGTGGGCATTGCGGGCTGCTGTTATATGGGCACCTGCCTCATTTACAAATATATTGTGGTTTTAGCTTATCAAGCACAAAAAAAAGCAGATCAGGGAAAATCAGCTAATGTATAATCATAAGATACACTCTTTCAAAATGAAGACACCTCGTTGTACTTGCTATATGCAATGTGACAGTTAGGCTAGAGTCCAGTAAAAACATGTACACACATGAGATAGCTGATCAAAAGATTCTAACTTTTTTAGCTTTTCAAGTTATACACCTTGGCAGAAAACCCTCATGATTCACACATTTTTGATGTACAAGGGCGTAGATAGAGGGTCAAGTATTGTTACTTATGAGGATGGCCAACAATGATCATAACTAGAATGGTAGCGGTTACATAAGTAGCTTAGCTCTATTGAAGAATTGAAGAAATGTAGTGAGGACAAAATCAAATGAAGGTCCTTACACACCGGGACCGACGCAAATATACAACGCTAAATTACGAAATATTCGGAGGCAAATTTTGACATGCCTGACTATACACATCAAGTCCAATGGGATTTTGCGACTTTCCAGGGGGAAAAAATACACGTCCGGGGTGGAAGCGAGAAGATTGACACCAACAGCAATCAGGGTAGCATGTACTGAGTCAGGGCCAGTACCAGATAAGCACATTAAACTATAATCCATAAATGTAAGGTAACAGCCGAGACCTAATGGTGCTGTGACAGCAACCCAATTGAGTTTGAGACAGTGAAAATACATATGGTATGTTGTATCTGAACAGGTTAGCTTATGAGCTAAAGTTTCTTAGCACAGATGAAAGTTAAAACAAAGACATTTAGCAAACTGTTAAAGCATAAAAACTATCGTCATATGAGAAATCCGATCCTGTGACTCTCCACAAGTTGTCCTTCAGGTCATTATCTTTGTAATGTTTGTGTCTTTAATCAAAAAGCACTCTGTTTTCTGACACGTAAACAATCAGCCGGTCGGCCATGTTGGATATACCAGTGAATCTGACGTTGCAACGACACACAATCTGATTAGTCAGAGGTGGACACACAGTATGCGAAACTTTAGAAAAACCGTCCGTGATCCGAAAAAATAAACGTCGCTGATATGAACACTTGTATTGACAGGATACGGGTTTGAGAAAAAATATTGATGTCCAAAATAACCGCACGAAAAAACGCTCCTGGCGTGTAAGGACCTTTAGTTGCATCATTAGGTAACACTTTATTTGATGCCTTTCTATAATGCATTATAAATATATTTATAATGTGTTATAATCACGTTATAGCACTGTATAACTATTGTTATGAGAGAAAAATGTGACTTTTGATATAGCTTCTGATATGTTTAAGTTAAATATGTTGATGAAAAAGGCAAAACCTAAGGTATCAGGGGAATTCTGAAGCAGCAGATCAATAGCACATTCAACAGTGTCAAGCTAAGCACTGTACAGATCCACCAGGGTGTTTGTGACAGCCACCTGTGCGAGTGTGTGTTCGTCTTGTCTGCTACACCACCACATGTCGCTTCCTTCAGGAAACCAGCAGAGATGATTGATGATGGCTTCATTGTTTGCTTCACTGCTCTCCCTGAACAATTCTGGGTCTCTTTCGGTTTTATTGTCACAGTTTTGGAAATGACATCTGTTAAAGATACAAAACATAGATTTTGTTGAAGACTTTAGGTACAGGGAGCCGAGTTTGAACCTTTACACCGAAAGTAATTTGTTTTTTGTGCGGTGATAAACTATTAAAGTGTGTGTAGCCTTATTGGAGTTTCCACACCCTTCACAAATAAATAAAACAGGTCATGAAAATTAAAGTATGCAGACTGGAGGCCAAAACACTTTTTGTATTGATAGCAAGACCATCAACATAGAGTACAGTCCCTGCAAACAGATGACATGCAAATATGTGGAGATGCCTTGTTAGTAGTCTCTAATAAATGAAAATTCAAGGCACATAGAGGCATTTGTTCCTCGTATTGTCTGCATGCAGAGGATGACTCTTGTACTCATTAGCATTGGTTGCTTGCAACTGTGGCAATTAAGGAAAATAGGCCTTTCCGATTGTTGCACTAAATCCCTCAATGTTTGAAAAATGTAAATGAAAAACTTAACGCGGAAAAAATATAAAAGAGACAGAAAACAAATATATTCATTAACTATTAGTTAAATGCACAAATCCAGCCTTTCAGTCCTTTGGTGGGTAACCTCAGCTCACCCTACACGTTCAGCTGCAGCTTTGCACCCTCCATAGGTGTGGGCCCAAGAAACATCCCACATGGTAGCTCACACTGTGATAGCCTCCAGCTCTTCACATATGAGGCAGTCTGTGTGTGAGTGTGTGTGCGCGCGC